AAATGCTTCGTCATTAACGCGGACAACCAGTCAAGAATTGCTAAATAGGGTTGAAAATTTAGTTAACAAACTTCAATTAGATTATTCGAAATTAGTTGGGCAAGCCTACGATGGAGCTAATAATATGTTTGGTGGAATTACTGGTTTACAGACCCGTTTGCAAGCCAAAGCGCCACACGCACTCTACGTTTGGTGTCATGCACATCGACTGAATCTAGTTTCAACACAAGCGATGTCATGTACCACTGAAATGAAAAACTGTATTGGGGTTCTCGGCGAGCTTCATTCGTTCTTTTCTGGTCACGTCAGATATGGCGTACTTTTAGGTGAACAACGACAGAAAGGTAACAACAGTTACTGTTTAAGTCTTTCGTCACCCATGGTTGATCTTAAACGATTTTTAATTATCTTCAATTTATTGAATTCACGTTCATTGCTTGCGACGGTAACAGGAAAAGTCAGGAAATAACGGAATGCCTGATATAAACATGGTAACAAAGTTTTACGTTCAGCAATGAATTTACCAGCTGCTGTTATATTGTCATAATTTTTTATGTCATCTGCATACAACTGACATTCAGTTAATAATAGATTTGGATCATCAATTTTCTCACCTTCACAGATTGCTTTTGCATCATTTAGATCAATATGGATTATATAATTCGGACTTAGTTTTCCTACAGACCGTAAATTCTTAATTAAATTTGAAATGAGTTCACGATATTCGGTTATCAAACGATCAAAAACAGCCCTGAATTGTTTCAAATAATATTCTTCACTGCAAATGAGATAGAAAACTTTTGAAAAAACGACAGAAGAATAATTTCAGGGTTGAAATTGTAAGAGACATTTCGAAACTTAGGCATGAAATGGAGAAAGTAAGGGATCTGGCGCACGGGGTTATTCTGTGAACTCTCGACTTCTGTTTTCGAATTTCAGTATTCACTTGAAGATTGCTAATATAGTACAAATCAATTCTAAGAATTTTCGCCTCACAGATAAAGCAACTTATTAAATGCGATTTCTCTAGCGAAAAGTGTCAGCAAGTCATGTGGGTGAATCGTAATTTAGTCGTACAATTGCTTGTTTGGAGTATTTTGATTGTGAACTTTTTTCCTTGTGTCCGATTTCGAAACTTTCCCTTTTAATTCGTTCGTCTGCGAAGTAAAGACAAGCATGCAAATTTTTTTAAATTCAGCTTTATTTTTTTTTTTCATCAAATGTAGAAAAAACTTACGATTCACTCATGTCCGAAATTGAAGAAACTTCATTTTCAGAAGCCTAACGCAACTGGCTTCTAAAATAACTAACTTCGGTTCGAAAAGCGAAGTCCATCCCACCAACAACAAATCTAATTTTGCTAATCGAAGTAAAAAGCTGCATTTCTATACAGATTAGTAATATCAAGGGCAAACTCTGAAAGGTTTTCGTTTAAAAAAGGACCATCAACTAAATAAGTTATGTCGCATAAAGAGGAGATGCTTTTCTTTACCTACCGTGTAAATACATGAGTAGTGTGAGGATTATCACCAATTTTTCTCGGAGGACGACGAGGACGATGTTTCGTTTTAAATTCTTCCGTTGTATCAATTGAATGTTCTTCTGCTACCTTATCACTTAATAAAATAATATTTCGTAAATTTCGATCACTGTTTCGCTCAGTTGTTAATAGTGAACAGGTTTTATCTATAACTTCAATAGAAGAAATAATGTTCAAACTTTCAGTTTGAAGTTCACATGTCAATGCATTTGTCATGGCAAGTACATTTTTCATAAATATTAAATACAAAATAAAACTGTAGCATTGCATATTTTTTAATATAGATTTGGCTTCTTGTCTAGTTTCAGCATCAACATTATTTTTTTCAATTTCTTTAAGTGATAATAGAGTTTGATCGAATGATTCGAAGACGGCTTTTAACGATTCATATTTACAGTTCCAACGTATGGTTGCAGTGGATTTTGGAATGAGTGAAAACGCATTACATAAGTAATTTATATTCAATACTTTCATTATAAACCCAATTGAAAAAAATCGAGTTCTTTAGATATGTAACACTTACTGACGAAACTTATATCGTATCTTTTCGAACTGCATGTGAAAAAAGTATATATACTTTGAAGTTTTCCAAATAATGTAATAATGTCAACGCTTTCATCACAAGAATGTTTCACCGCAGTGTTTGATCGGTGAGATGCACATGGAATATAAATGATGTTTGGATTTAATTTGGTAGTAATTAAATTTTGTACACCTTTGAACTGACCACTCATATTTGCGGTATAGTCATAAGACTGTGAAATTAATTTTAATTGATCAAGGCCGCTTTCTTCTAATATTGACAATATTTGGTTCGAAAGTAATTCACCTAAAAAGGATGAGGAAATATTCGAGAAGGAATATGTAAGCCGATATGTGAACAAATCCACGCGCTTGTATGAAATCAAAATAGCGAAATGAAAGTTGAAGGAGTAAAAAACTCTGAAATTGCACACACGGCTGCGCGGGAGTTACAATACGTCGTACATATGCTTTCAGTCTACGACGTGAATAAAAATTTTTCACTGTATGAAGAAAAATACGCGTAGAAGTCTGCGAGAAATTTACTTATTCCACACCAACCGCAAAACGCTGGTATTGACGTGGTGACTCCTTAAAACAGGGTCAAAATTGAACAGTTGCTTAGATCGGGTCTTCGTTGAATAAAATCAATAACATTTTTTTTTAGCTTATTTCGTCTCTTTTCTTTAGTTTCCCAAATATCGTTGCTCTACCCCTCATCAGAAAAATTCAAAAGGAGCCTATCTGATGCAGAATTTCAGGCTCTTTAAGATGCAGTTTAGAAATTATTGATCAGTTTCGAATCTGCTGCAGAAAGTATTCGTATCTGGAAACTGACGAGGAAACCTTTCAAGGTGATTAAAAGCTTTTTGATTGACATCTAGTGGGTTATAGATTATCGACCATACTGATTCCAAATATGATCATGAGACTAACCCATAGATCTTCGAAGATCCAGTCTTCTGGAAAACCAGTTTTTCAGAAATCCCAAAGAATAACCCAAGCCTTTCTTAATAATGCAGGATTGTAGCGCGCAAATTTCTGATTAAAATGATACTTCCCCTAACTCTACACGGCCTTTCTTTGCAAAGTTATAGAATTTATAAGAAGAGCCCTAAATTAATGCTTTCCTTCTTATTTCTGTAGCTTTGAGCTGACAATGAACAATTTAAGGCTCTTCTTATAAATACTATAACTTTGGAAAGAAAGGTCGCGTAGAGCTGGGGGATGCATCATTTGAATCAGAAATTTGCGCGCTACAATCCTGCATTATTAAGAAAGGCTTGGGTTATTCTTTGGGATTTCTGAAAAACTGGTTTTCCAGAAGACTGGATCTTCGAAGACCTATGGGTCAGTCTCATGATCATATTCGGAATCAGCATGGTCGATAACCTATAACTCACTAGATGTCGATCAAAAAGCTTTTAATCACCTCGAAAGGTTCCCTCGTGAGACTTTTCGGTCAAAAGTTGTCATGTTACGGCTATTCTTCCTGTACCAGCGGCTATCTCTCTCTCTCCTAGCTTTTCGTACCTGTTTTTCCAATAGTTTCGTCAATGCCTATAAAACGTTCAACTGGGTTAAAGTTTTCATCAACATAACGTATAAAAAGACTAAGCATATCTTGTCTGCTGGAGTCTGGCGTAGAATCTGCCATAATTGAAAAATAGGGAGCTTCTTTAATTGCATTCACTATCGATTCTAAAACATTCTCCCCAATCAACTGAATGAATTCGTTATATACATATACATATTCATATTTCAGAAATATGTTTTGGGTTTGTTGAATATCGCAAGTTATATCTATTAAACAATGATTCTACATTGGTAGAATATAAAAATTAAATTAATGTAACTATAGCAGTCAACCAGAGCATCTGCAATTATTGGATTTGTAATTAACACATTCACCCTCAATAAATTCAGCCATATTTCAATAAAATTGAAAAAGATTCAAGAAATTGAAAAAGATAATGTTGATGCTGAAACTAGACAAGAAGCCAAATCTATATTAAAAAATATGCACTGCTACAGTTTTATTTTGTATTTAATATTTATGAAAAATGTACTTGTCATGACAAATGCATTGAAACCATATTTACCATATTGCAATTATTTTTTAATATTGTATCACTTCTGTTCTAGGTAAAGTACTCTTCTCGTTTTATTTCGGTTCACATAAACGAACAACAATAATTTTCTAATAAGATGATATTTCATTTTAACTTTTTTTATTGTTACATTGTAACCCGTGATTGTTCGTCATCTTTCCTCTCATAGAGTTTTCTTTGTAGACTATGTTTGTCTTCATGAAATATTATTATCCCAGTTTGTTTAGTTTTATTATTATTATTATTCTCACTATTATTGTTGTTGTTCTTTTTGCCGGCTTTCTTCGTTATACATAATGAGGAAAAAGTATTAAATTACGGTTTATACAGATAAAAAAACAAAAATTCACATAAAAATGTAATGAGTAGTCTTCTAATCTTCTGGAATTATCAATTTTTGGTGATTTCTTTGCGAAACTGTAATAGGTCTGGTTAATAATGCGTATGTCACTATCAGAACGAAAAATTACATATCTTTACTGCCATTTAGAATCTTTAGGATTTAGGTTCTTTCTTAGCAATTTAGGATTTCTTGTATTTCTTGATCAAGAGAATGTATACAAACTAATGTGTTGTTTTCAGAAGTTTCATATTAGACATGTATGTAATATTAGAATAATATTAGCATCCATATTTTTATTTTGTCTTCTAATTGTCTGTGACGTCCATTTCAAGAAATGACTACTAGACAAATGCTTCTTTAAAAGGCCTAGATTGTACGCATTTTTAGAACTTTTTTTTGTTGAGAATGTCTTCTGTTTGTGTTTTATATGTAATTTTTTCTTGTATGTTTCATTCGATTTGATTTATTTTATTTTTTAATCACAACAGACTGTTTCTCATGCTATATTTTATGCGATTCTTATACTTACTTGAAATTTTATCAATATAGAGTTCTGTGAACTCCGCTGCCCCTTACTCCTAAATATATATCTTGAGTACAGTATTCCACAATGAAAAACTATTTTTATATATTTTGTTCATGTAGTCATCTTTTTTCATAGACCAACAGCCACGTTTGATGATTCAACGTGTTTAGATATACCGAACATATATATAAGACATTATAAAGCACGTGCTCTCTCTCTATAGATCTAAACACGTTGAATCATCAAACGTGGCTGTTGGTCTATGAAAAAAGATGACTTCATGAATAAAACGTATAAAAATAGTTTTTCTAAAGATGTATATGTATCGGTACTAAAACTAAAACACATAGAGGCACGTGGGGCAATTAGAACGCGATCAAAAAGTTTTGCGCTATTTTTCTCGTAACTTTGAAAGATTAGAAGTTTTCACAAAACTTCTAATGCAAAAGTTGTAGACTAGGGTGTTAAGCACTGACTGGTGCAAAAATCAATCGGAAATCTTACCGGCAAAAAGATTCGGAGTAGTTTTACTGGAGAAGGGTCTGAAACGTTCTTATTTCCCGCAAGTGGGAAATTAGAACGTTTGCTGTGTCTGCATGGGGTAAATAGAACGCATCTACCAAAACACACGAGATTCTTCCACAAACGTATTTTGACTTTGGTAATCGTGCTTTCAAGTATACTGAAACGTTAATTGGTAATTCATTACGCGTAATAATTACAAAGTATGCTGCCATAGTCTATAAATTAAAAATCATGCAAAATTGGTGGTAATGACCATATTA